CACAGTCCCCCTCTATGCCACTCTAAACCCTCCCTTAACCCTGCCTTTTTTAACAACCCTCCCCCTGCAGTGGATCGGGCTGCAAAGAGAATTTGGCCCCGGCACTGAATTAAAGGTTAGTTTTTGGTTTTATCACTAGCTACTCACTCTGAATAACAGCCTAGGGCATTAATACCTCATCAGTGCAGTTGTGGAGCAGAGTAAATGAGAGGCAATGCAGATGGGTGCCCAGTTACCCAATTTTGGTGTTAAAGTATTTTAAAATGGTTTAGCATTGTAAGGTAAAATGGCCATCAGCGACTCCAGCTCCAAAAACATCTTAATTAAGATAACTTTATATTAAGGGTGGAGAGTATATTTATGTGGCACCCTATCAACCTTTTTATCCATCCAGATTATTTCCTCTACAAACTTGCGCAGTTATTTAAGATTATTAGAAAACGCTAAAATGTCTAGGATCCCTACCATTAACCTACTGGTGTCCCACTCTCAATAACAATTAGCTGTGCCTCCTTTCCTTTCACCATGTGCATGGATACCTTTGACTCTTCATCACATTACCAGATTTTTTTCTGTCAATTAAATACAAGCACTTTCATTTATTCCAACACAGATTAAACATGTTCCCTGTCTAACATTTCATTGGGGTATGAAGAGTGCACATCACTTATGCTTGGACTTGAATGATTATTGTAATACTCTAGCTCTTACATGTACAAAAATCAGGGTACTGGGCATTCCCTCAATCTATCGTATGTGTGCTTGGAAGATTGAGGCTCATATATTTTGTTTACATGAGGGAATGGTTCAGCCATTTCTAGCAACATTGATTTCCATTCTGCCCTGTTAAATTCTCAAACATAACGTGAAACAATGGCCAATTAATATAATTGTATGGGTGATGCAATAATCATTCAATCCATTTCATTACTGTTAAAGCATTCTAAATGTGAATATAGAACTTGTCTTACTTATTCTTTAGGTTTTATATTTATTCCTAGTATATGCATACATGTGAGCTGAGAGTATGTGAAATTGTATTAGAAGTTATTTCAAATTGCAAATTACTATCTATTTAGCTATTTGTCGCTTCAGATTTTCACGTTGTCATGATGCATAACTTTTTCCATGCATTTGCGCAGGTTTGGCCTGCTATCCTTCCAAGGAGTGGAGGCAGAAGAGTGCAAGAAAATAGTTCACTTTTGCTCCTTCGGTAATCCTTTAATTTCCTGCTCTCCTGAATGTCTATCAACAAGAATGCAAACTGCTTAAAATTGTTGATTATAAAAACATATATCTTATTATTTCCAGATGGTGGAAAGGTACTGTAAGATCACGTTACAGATGAAATAAAAATCACCTTTTTGTGTTTAATTTAGTAAATAAAAGTGAATGTTTCATGTGTGTTATTTGCTTAGTATACTCCATGCACCAGTTTCCCAACCGTACCAGGTAGGGTCATAGAGGGGCTAAATATTTTCATTATGATCAATGATTTTACTACCGCTGCCTTACCAAACTGAGATTCCTAACCCCAACATAAAATGCATGCTAATCCCTTTGTATGATTAATAACTAGTCAGAGTCCTTCCTAACCATTAATAAAGACACAGAAACATATTTGCAATAAAATGCAATATTACTTATATGTGTCCTGACTGTCCAACAATGCCAAGTGATCATTAGAAGCCAACATATGTTTCTGATGGATGTAGGCTCTACAATTAAAAGCAACAATTACAACCCTGACATGCAGTGTGATTGGCTGGTTTAGCTTGAGGCTTCTTATCCACTACAACAGCTGAAATGCTGTGTAATACAGCATGCATAACTAAAATGTATAACAAATTTCTGTACTTGTGCAGGGTGAAACATGTTGGCTCTTCTGAAACACTTTGGCATTTATTTTTTTTCTGTTTGGCAGTATTTAGTTTATGATGCTGTCTGTTTTGGCAAAAATTTCAGCAAAGGAAAATATTAGGAAAAAGCCATTCAGACAGCAGGAAACTTGCTGCTTATGAATGTACTGACATGCAAATATAACTATAATATTACATGACCTAATGACTCTGCAATATCAGCTATTTTTGCAATGACAATTCTGTGACAATTACAAAAATTACATATCAGGGGGAAAAAAATACATCCCTGAGGACAATCTCAGTTAATCTTGCCGATTAATTGCAAGTACCTACAGGGACATAATACATACTTATAGTGTAGCAGCCTTGTTGGCACCTTCCAGAAAATATCCTAATAGACCAGTTTAGACCTGGAGAAAATTGAGGTTGCAGGCTTCAAATACAAACTTACGCAGTGTTAGCTTCAAACATGAACTTGCAAAATGGCCCTGCACGATTCCTGCCTGCTGTTTCACTTCTCCAGTCCTCTTCTAAAAGATATCCTAACACACCTCCTGAAGCTTTTAACCATCAATAGGATGGGTGAGGTTGCAGACCACAACCACTGCATTGCTCTCCCATGACCTCTGGTTTTGTGCTCTGTCCTAAAACAGACTTCTACTTACTAACTTTGTAAAACATGATCAACTTTTTATAAAGTTTATTCCAACTGGTGATGCACTTCAAATGTTAAATGAAACATCCCACTGATAAAGGTGGGCAAAGATACAAGGTTAAACAATAAAATTTATGAAAAACATAATGGCAGAGAAATGAATTTCCTTGAATGGTAGAAAATTACATTAGAACAAAGAGTAAGCTAAACTGGGCCTTATAGGATTGATGCAAATTATAAAACAAAATACATACATAACTGTGACAAAAGCAACTTCGCCACTGGTTTTTGGAGGGGCCTGTTTGCCAGCCTCCTACCCTGGGACTATGGGCCCTGTGATAACCCATGTTCAAAAGTACTGTTTCTGCCCTTTGGACTTTTAACTGGAACAGATTCAAACATGTGGAGGTGGCCATCTTAAATTGTCCAGCAGTGTTTTGTCATCGAGTGTATGGAACTGTTTTGGACATGGGACCATGAAAACAGAGGGGCAAAAATAAGACTACCAGGAAATTCCTGAACCCCCTGAATCTCGTGATTTTTGGATATGTTGTTCACCCAGATTGGGGATATCAGGGGATGTGACCTTTGTAGGGATATGTTGTATTTTGGGGTACTTTTTGGGGTGTGTAAAAATGTATGGTTTTTCTGCTTAGAGTTGATTTAGTCTTTGTTAATTATATCACAGGCAGAGGGAAGGGCTTGCTGACTGTATGTGGGAGTGTTACAGTAATAATTATTGTTCCCATTGGTTTATGTTCCTTGTGCCCCTGGCCTGAAACTGTGTATAAAAGAAATGCAAGTTGCTCAATAAACCAGACCTTCTTACCCTCAACTAGCAGCCTCGTTTCGTGTTGTAGGGAACAGCTATAACTGCTATCCCACTCAGGGATGTATTTACCACAAGGCAAACAAGGCATTTGCCTAGGGCGGCACTTTTAGGGGTGTGCCAAAAAATGCCACCCCAAGCTCCCAGACAAATGCTTTGCTTGTCTTGTGTTCTGGTTCTGTCCACCTTACTGTGAGTGAGTGAGTGTAGCTGCCAGTGTGTGTCTGTGAGTGAGTGAAAGTGTGTGTGTCTTTCAGTGAGAATGGGTGTGCCTGTGAGTGTGTGTATGTCATTTTATGTGTATCTGAGAGTGTGTGCCTGTCAGTGAGTGGGTGTGTCAGTGTGTATCTGTCAGTGAAAGTGTGTGTTGGTTAAACAGTGTGTGCTTATGACTGTATGTGTGTGACTGTGTATCTGTCAGTGAGTGTATATCAGTGCATGTATCAATGAGGGCATGTGTCTGTCTGTCAAAAAAGTGGCCTTGACACAAACTGGGGGGGTCAAATTTAGATTTTGAGGGTGCCCGAATTTAGTCATGCCTAGGGCAGCGCAAATCTAAAAAACACCACTGATATACACGACTCTTGTAAGAGCTCTCTTCAGCTATACAGCTATACTTTCCTGGAGGAGAGGTCCTTCCCACACGGTTCTGGATCCAGAGGTTGGACCAGGGTGGGAAGGAGATGGCAAGACCCCAACCAAGCTTTGGCGGTTCGTGGAGTCTGCAGCTCTTAAGGTGTCTGGTGCGGTGCTGATGGTTCTTGAGAAGCGCTAGGAGCATCCGTCGGCGGAGGTACCCAGCCAGGGTACAGGGAGCTCTGTCACAATAACAATATACAAGCATATTAATTGTTGAAACCAAGGGGTTACATAATGCATGCTAAAGTATATATGGAATATTATGTAAATTTGAGACCTGATAACAAGATGTTAGTTTATATTTCATTTGGACTACAGATAGTCCAATAGTAATAAAATAATAATAAAATCTGCATTTATAATGTCTCCAAAATATAACTAAAACAGCTTGTGGTTTGATCCACATGGATATGATGTGACTCAGACATAATCTCACCTGCATTAGTAATATATTCCAATGATTATGGTGTGCAGCAGAACATTTATTTTTATTTTATTTTTATTTTTTTCTAAAGCCATGTGATCTTCATTTCTTTATTCATAAAGCGATCCAGCACTAAATCTGGGTTCTGATTTTAGATTTTATGTGCATTATTTGAATTTAATTCCCACTTTTTAAGTGATATTTTGCTTAGAAAATGTAGTTGTAAAGTTTCATGTTGCAGCATATATTGTCTTGGTTTTGCTGAGCACACAGTGTGGTATAGAGAAGGCTATAATGATATGATCCTTAAAGTGCATTATTGGATATTTTACATTGTGTAACTCACGAGCATGTGATTTGGCATTAAATATGACACACAATACCTTCTATATTTTGATGCAGAAATTGTGATTTTCTTCTGATTGTGTATTATTGTGTTTTTTTAATGTCTTTATGGGATCAGTGAATACATATAAAAAGGACATTGTGACAGGGGATTTACTTCAATCTAAAAATATTGATAGATAAACAAATGAGCTATTTTCATTCAATGTATGATTACCTTAGATCACGGGTCCTCAAACTCCAGCCCCCCAGATGTTGCTGAACTACAACTCCCATGATTCTTTGAATTACAGAGGTAGCCAGAGAATCATGGGAGTTGTAGTTCAGCAACATCTGGGGGGCCGGAGTTTGAGGACCCATGCCTTAGATCACACAAATGGAAAAAAAAAAATGCGCTATTTATACTTCAAGCATGTTTTCATTATCTTATTAAAATATTTTGCACAATGCAAATAATGGCAAAATAACATGTTTGCATAATTAATCATTTTCATTAATAATTATTTTAAGTAATAATTTTCTATATTTTTAATGATGTGTTGTATATAGTTAATGGAAGGAGATATAGTTGTGGTGCTGTGATAAGTGTATATGAAACCATACTGCATATAGTATATATAAAACCAAGAGGGCTCTACTTGCCCAAACATGCATACATTATAAGGGTTGTATGAGCATGCATTGCAGAAGCCTGCTACAACGGCAATGTACCCTATTTTTTGCAGGTCCTATCCAAGCAACCTAATGCCTGCTCTTACAAGATTAATCCACTTATTTGGGAAAATGGGCCTTGGAATAAGGCACCTGTGACAGAGAGGGGTGCAACATCGGGGAGTTGGCCTAGACTTCTAAATATATATAAAATATGAACCCAAGAGGGTTGCACTCATCTAAACCTGCATTACATTGCTGCTGGGTGCACCTGGGGCCCTATCACAGGTACCCCAATCTAGGGAGCTGCCCTTGAGCAGCACAGTGGGAGCACATTTATATGCCTGGGCTATGAACAGGCACTAGCAGAGGCAGATCTACAGTCAGTGCAGCTAGTGCAGGGCCCATCAGGTGTCCCAATCCTGTATATCTGCATGTGTGTCAGTCTGTGTCCATGTATATGCATTTATGTCAGTGTGTGTGTGTGTGTCTTCATATCTGCTTGTATGTCAGCATGCGTATCTTTGTGTGTGTGTGTGTGTGTGTGTGTGTATCAGTGTGTGTATGTGTATATGTGAATACATCTTTCCAGCCTTGTGTTTAAGAGCTTTTCTGGGAAGCTCCCACCCTACCTGAGCAGAATGCTCTCCCCAGCTGTTCCCACCTTCTATAACTCCGATCCAGTACCAGCACTTTATTTAGTCTACCTCAATACAAAAAGAAAGCAGCCCAATCCTCCTTCACCTACAGAGCACCACAATTATGGAACGACCTCGCGCACACTTTAAAATCTTCCCCAGGCCTAAAGTCCTTTAAGAGATCCCTCTCTACATACCTCAAAACAGAATGCACATGTTATGGTTGATTATATATTTCCTACCTGTTCTATGTAACATTTTGTACATATTGTGTATTAATATTGTTTTTGTAATTTATTGTACCCAATTTGTATCAATGCAATTTTTGTGGACCCAGAACATACTTGAAAACTAGAGAAATCTCAATGTATCTTTCCTGGTAAAATATTTTATTAATAAATAAATCTCGGGATTAAGATGCCAACACTATACTATTAACAAAAGAAGCACAAGAACTGACCATTTAGAAGATAAGCCCTTATGTACAAAGAGTAACCTTGCTAAAATGTAACTTTTAATATAATTGTATAAAATATTTTAAAATACTTGATTGTGGATATAATGAATCCAATTTATATCTACAATAGGAAGAAGTCCTACAGAAATAAATAAAATATATAGTAAATAAACAATTTAAGTAAAATGATATTAAACAAAGCTTAAAGTAATAAACCAATATCAGATATCATTCACTGTAACTCAGTGATAAATTGAAGTAATTGCACTATGAGTTGCAATGTGTGGAAATAATGTGAACTAATGATAAAGTAACTAAAATAACAAAAGTTACACTTGTAACATGACTAATTAGCCAGAAGGATAATGCACTTGCCAATTTATATAATGCTCCTTTATTAACGCATACTGTAAATATAATGAATACTACTATAGACTATGTTGGTGGTATATAATAAACAATAATATCCACGTTGACACAGTTACATATAAATAACTGCTGCAATAACAATGAAATGTACTAATAAATGAAATATCACAGTTAATTCAAATAATATTTATTATAAAGGTCTTTGTTCTTCCTTGTATTAACATCCAGTAAATTTATCCTCAGCTATGGCTAGCACTTAATACTTATATTAGCATAGTAGAGGGAGCAAATGAGCAAAACATTGCTGAATACGCATTTCAAGACCTAAAATGGGTTAAATGCAAAAAAAAAAAAAAACAGAATAATTAATCATGACTTTGTGTCAGTAAGCTGTAAGCAATATTAAATTCAGGGGAGTTTTTTTATTTTATTTAAAGGAAGCAAGATTGCAGACTTTTTTTGAAGTAAGCTTATTTTTTTATAGAACATGTTCCCATTATCTGTCATTTAAATGTTGTCAATCAAAGCTGTTTGCATCTGGTACTGATGTCACCTTAAATGTATTTATTGATACTTCCAGTCACACATGAAAAGTTTTGCAGATGGTGTCTTTGCAAATATTTATTTAATTTCTTTTAACCATTTTATCTGCTGCTCTCAACCTATAATCCACTCTCTATTTTGATTTCTTATATTTAATTTTTTTGATTTTTTTTTTTTATAAGAGATTTAATCATTGGTGTGTTAAACACGGGGTGATCTTTTATGTGTTTGGTGTTAGGACAAGAAAGCACCACTGTAGATCACTAGAATAAACAACTGGAGCTGATTCAATTACAATGCCTTTGCTGAGTTTTTATCTGCCGGTGACATCATTTCAATCAAAATGTAAAATAATACAATCCAATAGATGCAAGAGGGAGAGATAGGACACAGACTGCTGCATTTAGTCATTTAATAAAATAAGAAAAAAAAAATGAAAGAAAAAAAAAAGAAGAAATGTTCTCTGTGACAGTCCATCTAAGACTTCTATTTCCAAAACTCTATTACCTTGCATAATAGTATTCAAAAGAACTGAATGCAGAAAATTGTCTATTACTTTTTATTAGTAAAAGCTGTGTGGGATACAGCTTACTGATTTTGTTTTTTTTTTCTCTGACTTGCATTGTTCATTTAATTAACAGGAGCAGCACATTCCTGTTTTGTCAAGCAGTTGCTGTTGCAGCGAAGCTTCTCATAGCACACTCTACATTCATTTAAACATTAAAGTGGCACTATAGTCACAAGAACACCTACAGCTTAATGTAGTTGTTCTGGTGTCTATAGTTTGCCCATGCAGGCTTTTTAATGTAAACATTTTTTGAGAAAAAACAGTGTTTATAATACTGGCCAGTAGAGGTACTTCCTAGGTCAATCGGAAAAAGGTTAGCGCTAATAATAACTTGTGTAAAAAATAAAAATAAATATAAAGGCAGCGGCCTTCTAGAGGGTCACCCTCTAACCCTCTACAATAAGGATATATACAGAAACAAGAAACAAGACTGCGCCAGGGAATAATTAAAACAAATAAAATAAGTCCAAATAAAACAATAAAAAATCAAAATAGGAGAGTCCCAATAATAAGTGGTATATCGACTGATATGATGTCTTCCTTAGTAGTGGTCGTCCGTCTCACGATATGAAAGACACAATGGGAGAGAGCCAATAGTGCAGAGTGTATAAATAGATAATATTTAAATAAAATATAGATTACACACTCACATTTCCATGAGCTAGGACTAGCTCTAGTATGATGGGCATACGGCGGATAACCCTCCGCTTATAGGGGTACTTGTCCTCCTGGAGCGTCTTTGTGTCCAAATTCTCAGGGAAAGAAATAAAAACAGCCAATAGTGCTCTCTGGTATAGTAACGTATAAAAAGAATAAAAATAAATAAAATATACTCACAAATAAAGTGCAGGTCAATCTGCACTTTGTAATTCGCGTGGGTGGTATAATCCCCACCTTAGGATATGCCAGGAACAATAAATGAAGTATAAAAGTAATAATAATTGTAAAATTATTTATTAGTACAATATATTAAAACCAATAACGCGTTTCGCCTGAAAGGCTTTATCAAATTGGAATAGTATAAATACCTGGCACATAAGGAGTATATATAGCTGGAATAAACAATTAAAATTGGCGCCAAAAATTGATCAACCAATGAGAGTGATGCAAAATATGAATAAAGAATATACATACAAAAGAAGAAAATTAATATTAATTATACATGCGTATAAATGTACAATGAAATGTATGTACAAATATATAAAAAACGAGCATTAATTAATGTTAAAAAGAAAATTAAAATAAAAACTTCCGGTTTTGCGCGAGTCACGTGACCCGCAATGCACTTTGGGACATGTAGTGCCGGGTCACGTGACCGCCGATAGATGTATTTGCATAGTCCGTGCGGCCATTGCAGTAGGAGGCGGCTCGCACGGACCAGGAAGGCAAAGAGGGCGGGATCGGATCAAGTCACGTGACCCGCGGCGTCATGCATTAGTAATACCCGCGGGCCACGTGACAATATTAAGTAATCCTGGTTAGGTGACCGCCAAAGAATGTATATACATATAGTCCGTGCGGCCAATGTAGAGAGCGGCTCGCACGGACCGGGGAGACAAGGGGGCGGGTCATGTCACGTGACCCGCGGCGTCATGAATCTATAATACCCGCGGGCCACGTGACAGTGGCTGCAAGGGGTACTGGGAAATGTAGTCTGAGACACAGAAAATGATTGACATAAAATAAGTGTAATGCAAAACAGTTGAAGGCATATTGAAATATAAGAAGTATATGTTACATAAATATACATAAATTAATGCATCAAATCATAAAATGGCATAGATAATAAGCATAAAATGATAGAATAATTTGAATAAAAACAAATGGCAATAAAAAATACATAAAATAAAAATACACATGACCCGCCCCCTTGTCTCCCCGGTCCGTGCGAGCCGCTCTCTACATTGGCCGCACGGACTATATGTATATACATTCTTTGGCGGTCACCTAACCAGGATTACTTAATATTGTCACGTGGCCCGCGGGTATTACTAATGCATGACGCCGCGGGTCACGTGACTTGATCCGATCCCGCCCTCTTTGCCTTCCTGGTCCGTGCGAGCCGCCTCCTACTGCAATGGCCGCACGGACTATGCAAATACATCTATCGGCG